CCATACCCAACTCAAATCTTGTTGACCTTACTGATCCATCATAAGAACTCTTCTATCTTGGAGTCAATCAACCCATTAGAGAGAATCGTGAATCCAGTGGCATTAGAAAGAGATATCCAAGACCCACCCAAAGAGGTTCCAGGATTTGATCTCCAGCATAGAGAGAATCGTGAATCCAGTGGCATTAGAAAGAGATATCCAAGACCCACCCAAAGAGGTTCCAGAATTTGATCTCCAGCACAGGATATGGACAGTCCTGAATAATGTTCACAATGAGGTAGCAAAGTGTAGTTATTACCTACTACACAAATGACGGATTAAAGACCCCCTCCCATGTGAATGTGGACATCTAACTCAAACAACCTATCACATAAATGCCAATTTTCGTGAGGTGTCGGTGATACCCGATGCTGTCGAATCGATCTCAGACATCAATATACAACTCTTAATTTACTATCCTAACACTCTTTATGAAGAAGATAAGAATTCCCACATCACCTGGATAGATCAGCCATCATTGCTCTGTTCTGAACTCCCCAAAGAAAACAGCTGATAAACTCAAGTTAAATCAAAAATATCCTGGTTAAAAAATATTCAATACAGCAGAATATATGAATGAACAGCCTACCTCCCTTTTTTAAAAAAAAAAGTTACCAATAAGGCTTACTAATCTCAAAATGGTACGAAAGTCACAACTTTTTGTCTACAAGAATATTAACACAATGATTACGATGAACCAAATATGATCTCATTTGAAATATATTTAGAATTTATAAACTTAAGCGTTATTAAATGTTTATATTTTCTATATACAATTTGTTTAGGACAAACAAAAAAAGAATAGCATTCATTTATTTTCAAATACAAGACTCTGATATGATTCATTAGTTAGTTGAAAAGCAGTCATCCATTATTCATTAATAAAAGCCTCCCAAAATAATTTTATAAATGACTAACATTTCTTTTGATCTATTATGAACATTTTTTTTTATCATTTAGTCTTTATATCAAATAAACTTGAAAAATCGAAAACTCAACCACAAAAAATGGCTGAAAGTTTACCTTCGTTCTCCTGGTTCCAAAGGCTGTACAAACCATTTCCCTAATCTGGTAAATCCACGAGACAGAAGACATCTGTGTGGAAATTACTATCTCATTAAATCTGATAATCATCTTTATTTTCAGTAAACTATTGTGATAATCATAATACACTGTTTAACTGTCAGGTGTCTCTGTTAAAATTTGAACTGAATTAGCATCGGCTGAACAATATTCTATAAAAGTACTAAAAGTTAACAATAATTTGTTTTTTTTAAACAGTTACACTGTAACTTCTTGCAGCCTGCTAAAGAGTTAAAACTTATTCAAATATAATTACTGTAAGTACATAAAAAGTTCACTTCAAATACATTTAATACTTAAATTGCACTCATTGTATTTATTCCGAAGTTGGAAAACAACAAAAAACAGGAAAAGCACCAAAGAAATACAACTGGATCCCTCACAGTAAAAACATCTCACATCAAATACAACTGGATCCCTCACAGTAAAAACATCTCACATCAAATACAACTGGATCCCTCACAGTAAAAACATATCACATCAAATACAACTGGATCCCTCACATTAAAAACATATCACATCAAATATAACTGGATCCCTCACAGTAAAAACATCTCACATCAAATACAACTGGATCCCTCACAGTAAAAACATCTCACATCAAATACAATCTTAAAAAACAAACAAACTTGTTTTGGACATTTACAAATAGTTCTATAAACTAAAACAAAGAGAGAAGCTCACCTTTCAATCAAGTTGTGAAAAGCTTTAAACAGAAGTGTCCGACTTTCATAGGAAAGACCGTTTTCTAAAGATCCTTGGTCCCCTTCTGCGGAAAATTTTAAAAAATTGGTTATTAGCTATCTTTTTAGGTACATTTATAGATAGATTAATAATGCTTGTACTTGTACCTGATGATGACAAAACCTTGTACATTTACTGTTATGTTAAACTTGTATTAAAGGTTTTCTTCATTACCCATTCAAGCCATCTCCAACCATTAATAGTCTCAAAGATATCTCATTTCTAAAAAAACATAATGGGCCTGTAAAGAACAGTGTGATGTAACATCACGCCTACTGACCATTAAGAAGGCAGCAACTGAACACAAACATACAGACAAACAATGACCAGGTTGAACTGGTAACCACATAGAGGAACATTCATAACCAAACTCTCCGAAACCCGGATGGTAAGAATTTCAGAAACTGTGCTTACCGCTTTATTTTGTTTTTCTTTCAAAATAAAATTACAACGATAGAAACTTGAAACGTGAATTGAAGACATTTAATTTGTATCTCATAACAACAAGTATGATAATACTTACTCATAATTAAATGCACCAAAAATATTTATATATATTCCGTTGTGGTTTCTTCATCACGGGCCACGCGCATGCCTCTTCACTTACCTCTTAGCATATTGACGGGAATGACCAGTTAAAATACAAGTTTATATTTTGGTACTGTCGTTATTACAACGTTGAACATGCGTTTTTTTTTTTTTCAAAATATCATTTAAGTAACCAAGTCCATTCAACAGGTACATATTACACCCTGGTGGCGTTGTCCTGAATTTAATGTCGCTCTACTCCAATAGAAGATTAATTACTCGGGCCTGGAGCTTTGGCGCCGCCTGCCTGCCAGCTGCATCATATATCTCTTCCTGTATCACTCGTATTGCCACGCTTTCCTGTGATTTTTCAGATCAATACGGTGCTGAACGTACCTACATTCCCTAGTCGGCAGAGTGTATATTGCCATAGCTACAGGCACACATACATGTGTAACACTGGATAACTGAAGCCAGAAACATCAACTCTCCGAACTGCATTTATCTCGAGAAATGCAGTCTACGAGATTTAATTTTTCCGAAACAACGCGTGTGACGTCGTCGGATATATTTTTCTGTTGCGTAGGAATTAAAAAAAAAAATGAGGAAAAACGCGATTTATACTTGTAAACTATCTGTTGATTTTTGAATTTTTTTAAAGTTACAAAAAAAAAGTTTTACTACAAAGCAAGACAAAATTAACAAATATAAATGCTCGTAATTTAGCAAACCCGATGACGTAATGTTTAATTAGCATAAAGTTCACAAACGATATTTAACTTCACGGTGGACTAAAACTTTAAATTCAGCAGTTATCCACAAGCTCTGATTCTACCGTTTTATCATAGCCTCCAGCGCCATCACGATCTAAAGACCTGCCTCCGTAGAACCGCACTGACGGACAGCCCACAGTACTTCCACGGGTGAGAGCGTGCAACCCACACGCATTCATACAACTGTAACCGCACCGATTCTCCGCGCGGCAGAACGCCCCGGTTACAGATCAATACGTAGACTAGGAGGGCAGGGTAAATAGCCTTGTTTTCGACGCTGCACGGAGTTGAATTAAATCAAGCAGATGGGCTCTCTGCCCATTTTGGTGTGGTATATGGGCTAGAAGATTAGCATACTGTTTGATCTGCTGCACACAAATTCCCCCCCTCTTCTTTAACAATAAATACCGTCTCGAACCACGAACTCATTCAAGATTATTCAAAATGTCAACAAAAAATCAAATAAACAGAAAATATAAAAATTTCACATCAGGCTTTAAGGCTTATTAAATTTTCCGAGAAACTTTAGGCTTAAGTTTAAAGTAACCCCACGTTTGATTGTTTGTTTGTTTTTTATTAGTATTTATTATTGAAATAATGCTTTGCAATAACATCTGCATGCCTTCCTTGTTCCGACAACAATAAAACCGTTTTATAAGACAAAAAAACAAAATAAATACAATACTTCCTTTTTTAGGCACGAGTGCGCTAAGCGCACTAAATTTACGTCAGCATTTGATAAGCAACCCAACATTAGCACGGGTTTCATAATCAGTTAATACTCTCTCTCTCTCTCTCTCTATATATATATATATATATATATATATATATATAATATTGTGTCGTAGTTGGTAGAAGAAAGAAGAAATAAATAATAACGTACGTTTACGG